GGAGGCCGAGGTGGGCGGATCACTTGAGGTTAGGAGTTCAAGACCAGCCTGACCAACATGGAGAAACCACGTCTCTACTAAAAATACAAAATTAGCTGGGGTGGTGATGCAAGCCTGTAATCCCAGCTACTCAGGAGGCTGAGGCAGGAGAATCGCTTAAATCCAGGAGGCAGAGGTTGCAGTGAGCCGAGATTGTGCCATTGCATTCCAGCCTGGGCAACAAGAGTGAAACTCCATCTCAAAATAATAATAATAATAATAATAAAATAAATGACACTTCAGACAAACAAAATGCATCCACCTCGGGGCTCTGTGCAGTCAGGTCATGAGGCACATATGGCCTTGTAAAAGCACTTAGAGCACATTCACAGGAGACTGTTTGCAGCATTTCTTATCACACAGTCTACTCCTTGTCCTGATTTCAGGGTCAAGGAGTTACAGTCTCATGCACAAACAACATACACACAGTGCCTCAGTATTTTTCCATGCCTCAACCTCAAATGCCTTGTACATAAGCTTGAATATGTTGCTGTGCCCCCACCAAAGGTGATTCACGCCTGTAATCCCAGCACTTCAGGAGTGGAGGCCAAGGTGGGCAGATCACTTAAATTTGGGAGTTCAAGACCAGCCTGATCAACAAGGAGACCAGCCTGGGCAACAGGAGCAAAACTTCATCTTGTAAATAAATAAATAAATGAACAAACAAACAGATACAGAAACTGGTATAAGTGTGCTTTTTCTTTATAACTCAACTTTTCCATTTAGAAGAAAAAAGCATGAAGAAAACACTACGTATATGTTAATGAAAATACAACATACACAGAACTAATTCTGACATAAATAACAAAGAGTTCTAGTGGAGATAGAGTAGTTTTTGCAGGTTATGGAATTTTTGTTTTGTTTTGTTTCATTCTGTTTCCTTGAGATGGAGTCTCACTCTGTCTCCCAGGGTGGAGTGTAATGGCACCATCTCGGGTCCTGCAACTTCCACCTCTCAAATTCAAGTGTTTCTCTTGCCTCAGCCTCTTGA